TCCCGGCTGTGTGACTAGTCTAGACGGAACGTTACATTAATTTTTTATGCTCTGTTTTGCATTTTTGCTTCGATTCTTGAAATATTCAGCACAAAATGCATTATTGAAGAGCTTTGGGAAAATGCCGTTTGCTTTATTACTTCGCTTATGGAGCATGCTAAATTGGTCTAGAACGGTGTGACCTTAGAAACCAAAATCAGTTCTTTTTTCACCAACAAATTTTGATGGGAGTGATTAAAAATTTCGCTCCGTACGTAAGGTTTACTCTTTTTTATTTTTCCTCCTCCGATTCAGGTCAGCTTATCAAATTTACAATTAAATGCGACTCTGAATCTTAATGGTTTTGCTAAGTAACTTATTGTTTTATAGTGAGGATCAACATTTTTTATTAATTATAGGTCTGTGTCGCGATCACTGTTCCAACTAGGTTCAGTTGCCGTACTAGGATAAGGCGTATAAAATAGAAGAATGGAAAGATTTCACTTGAATGTCATGTGTAGGAAGGCAGTTTATGACGCAGTCTGTGTCTCATCCCTTAGTCTGTGTTTTATCCCTTAGCTGTATACACAGACCGAACAGTGCATGCGGGTAGGAGTGGGGATCATGAATACAGCTTCCTACCCGGCATGGTTTGAATAGCCATGGTAGTGAGTTGTAAGACGGATAAGAGGAAGAAATTAAACTTGATGGATCGAAGCATCCTTATCCTAGCTGATGCCATTTCAATATATATATATATCTTTTTTTCAACCTGTATTTATATTAATGCTTCTGCATGCATGATTTTTATACTTTGCTTTTATTCACTTATATCTACTTTCAAAAATTTTTAATGAATTATATTTTTTTTAAAGTTCGCATAAAAAAATTTGACTAAGTATAAGTACCACTGGAAAAGTCACCGAAAAATAACAGAACTTACCGATCGGCATGGATCCTTCTTGGAATACTGTATAAGGCGAATAGCAATAAATGCATAACTAATAACGAGCAACAACAACGGCCCCCAGAAAACAAGAACCTGAAATGAAACAGTGATGACCGCTAGAAGAGAGGACAGTCAGAGGTGTCAAAGATGATAGAACGAGATTGAGGGGATGAGTCTATGTACTCGTTTTTGGGGCAGCTGTAATTCATAGCCTGTTCCTTAACAGCTTTTCCAATTGTTTTAAAGAATGCTGCATTAACTAGTGGTCAAGCCTGCTGGCGATCCTAGGGTTTGTTTTGTCCCCTGACGAGGGTTTTCTAGATAGTCACGCTGGGTAGAAATGTCGTGATATCTTTTATTTGTAAAGAGCTAATAATTTTAACAGTTCTTGCCATTAAACTGTTGAAAGTTAAATAAAAATAAAAATTTCAGTAAAGTTTTTTAGCTCAAATTTCCAGAAGATTGCTAGAAATAATTCATATTTTCAAAACTTTTAAAGAATTGTCATCCTTCTACCACTTCCGGTGATAAGTTGACAAGTCTTCGTTGTGACACAAGAAAAAGACTCGTACTGATTAATTTTTTCTCCCAACTCCCATGCCGACAATAAGCGTAAAAAGTCGAAAAAAAAAGAAGCCCGTTAACAAGCAGATTTTCTGCATCTGCGTAATTTATTCTACAAAAATCCAAGTTTCATTCGGAGAGTCAGTTTTGAGGGATTTTTTAAGCGAGTTATTCTTGATATTGCAGTAACCACGATTATACTAAGATGCTCAAAGTATCACAGTACGTCAAAGTCAAAAGCCAAAATCTCTCCAAATTCGTACTTCATTAGAGGCAGGCGTATTCGGGGAAAAACCTCAGCGGTGACAGTTGCTAGTAGCAACCACTCGCTGGTAACACTTTCGCTATTTCGCTACTTCAAGTGCTGCTTACAAATTAAGCTGATGGTAAGGTTTGACTCCTTGACGTATACTAGTACCAGCTTCTCATCGAAATGAGATAACGAATCTTAGAGAAATCCACTGTCTCACTGGTGAAATCGAGTCTCATCCTAGTGCCTGAAAACAGTGCCGCTTCCGTGTTCACCGAGGGTTACCGAAGAAAACGCTCCAAAAATA